TTATATGCCGCCCACACTACCCAAAGGTCTCTTTAACTTATATCCTACCTTCATGCCTATATGTATTTACATCAATGTCTTCAGAATAGGAGGAATCTGCTCACAGCCACCACATGATTATGTTATGTTACTGCTGCTCATATTTCTAGCTTTGTAGCAAAATATGAAAAGTGGTAGTAACAAAACCCCCATAAGGATATGCTTCTGAAAGCTCAATCATACCACAAAGGTTCTGGGTGAGCAGAACTGAGATTACATTTCACCCCTTCAGCAACATCTGTGGAGCAGCATCTGTTATGAAACCTGCATCACATAGCACTCTTACTACACATTAGAAGGTCTAAAGGCAAATAAAAATGTATCAGCATTGGTCCTACTTTAAGCCTTCAAGCAAACTAGATGCGAGAGCAGCAGTGCCATGTTATCAGAAACAGGGTACCCTCAATTTCTTATACCCTTTGTGCATGTGCATGCTGAAGTGCAAGAGATGAGGCAAGTTATAGTATAGGCAATGTTCGCACTGTCTCAGTTTTGTGAGTTTTAACTGATGTGATTTCGTTTTATTTGATTATTTTCATGGTCTGGTTTATTGTCATTTTTTGTTTGATTTTGCAATTTGCTGACTGCCCAGAATAGTGCCTTGCACTAATGGGGCAAGATAAAAATTTAAGAAAGGAAGAGAGAAGGAAAGAGCTGCACATACTTTCATTTATGACATGACTTCTCCTTAGCTCTAGGACCTCTATATGGAGCAAATTATCTGGCAGGAGAAGGATTTCAAAGTGAAGAGTGAGGAGTTCAAGTCTCTCCACTCCCCAATGTTTTTGAAACATATGGACAAATACTGGACCATGCAGGCATAAAAATCCTATAAGCATACAGCAAAACCATACATGGGTCATCCAGGATATTAAATTAACTTGCTGATATAATATGCAGGATGTGATTTATTTATTTATGCCTTTTAAATGCACCACACTTAATGGAAATCCACTACTCTGGGTGGTCATACAAATATCCCCGCATTACCCACCCCACCCTCCAGAAACAGGGGGAAAAAACAATCGCCTTTTAAATGCACCACACTTAATGGAAATCCACTACTCTGGGTGGTCATACAAATATCCCCGCATTACCCACCCCACCCTCCAGAAACAGGGGGGGGGAAAAACAATCAAATAACAAAACTAAAGCTAATGACTAAATGATACCGACTATCCTCCAAGACAAAAAATAAGCCATAGGGCAAATCATTACCTAAAGGGAAGAATGTCCTTAAAGGCTTCTTTAAACAATTCAGTTTTCATTAGCTTGAAAGTCTGGAGGTAGGGAGCCTACTGAGTCTTCAATAGATCACTACAGAGTGAAGGGGCCACTACCGAGAAGGCCCAGTTCCTTGTGGAAACCCTCCTAGCCTCTGTCAGCATGGCCATCCACAACAACAAGGTCTGGGAGGACCAGGTGGAACAAGCTGCAGTTCTTTGGGAGAGATGCTCCTTCAGGTATCAAGGCCCCAAACCACAGAGGATTTTATATGTTAAAACCAAAACCTTGAACCTGGCAGGAAAAGGAAGAGATAGCAAAAGCAGATGAGTCACCAGGACCTGAGAGATATGCTCCAACATATTTACTCCAGATATCAATCTGGCTGCTGCATTCCGAATCTACTGAAGTGTCCGTGTCAGCTTCAAGAGCAGCCCCTCTTTTCTCAGCAAAAGAGGCGCCAACTTCCAAAAAGAGAAGTCCCCCACTCTGCTTCTCTCCAGACCACCAATGCATGTATTGGGCTCCTTATTGCTCCACTGACAAAGAAGCTCATACACTCCCAAATGTGAATGCTGCCAGGATTTCACCACTGACGAGGCGAGGGGGAAAACGGGCTCCTCTCTCTCTCTCTCGCCTCCCAGCTGCAGGGCATCCCGCTCTCACCTACCTAGCGACATTCACCCACCTGAGCCTATTCAGGGAAAGGCAATGGAAGCGGCTGCACCCAGTGAATGACTCAGGGGAGAGGACGAAGAAAGGAAGGCGAGGACACCTGGGAGAGCTGGGCGGGTTAAAGGCGGGCTACTACTCACCGCAGTCCACGAACCGGATGGGCTCGGCCAGCACCGCAGAGCAGGCGGCCAGGAGGAAAGTCAGCGTCAGCATAGTGGCTTCCGAGCGTCGGGCACAAACAAGAAACTTCTTCCTGCGGAGGGCGGGTGTGTGGAACCGGGAACGCGCCCCTCTCTATATATAACGCCGCCGCCACCGCCACCGCGGCGTCACATGAGCGGCATCCGAGGCTGGGCCCGCCCCGGAGCGGTCACCTGATGGGGGCGGCCTTTCGGTCCCCGCCCAGAGCCGCCCTGGGCTGGCTGGCTGGCTGGCTGGCCCCTCGAGAGGGCTGAGGACGGGACGATAGGGCAGAGTTAGGCCGGCTGGGGAAGAAAGTCCTCTTGACTTCTCGGTTGCCTCAAGCGGGGCGAGCGCAGGGCCGCGCAATCCACCACTCGTCCCCCGTCGACTAGCCCCTGGCGTTGGCAGGCAGCGCAGGCTTTGCCAGACATTTACTTTGTACAACGGTGGTGGGCAACTTGTATAACGACAACTCCCATGATCCTTGGACTGCAATTCCCATGATCTTTCACCATTGGTTATGTTGGCTATGGCTGATAGGGATTACAGGCCAACCGCATCCCGAAGGCCACAAATTGCCTACTGCTGACTTAGAAGGAAAAGCCTTTTGTATGATATTCATAGGTCTTAGCTTCTTGTCTTTTGGGATTAAGTCCCACTGAAACAAAAAATAAATGTGCAGGGTTAGTAACATAACCCACGATAGTAACATGATGGTGGTTTCATGGTATTGGTCCCACTGTTCTGGTAGAGCCGGGTTAAGACACGCGGAGGTGTTACGCTGAAAAGACTGCACAGCATTACCAAAAAAACATGGTTTAGATAAAATTTAAAATTTAGGTCAGATGTTTTGCTTGGGTTTTTATGTTCCTCTTTAGAGGTTCTTATCTCAGGGAGAAACCTAATGAGGGGAGGGGGCTCAAAAATTCAGAAGTGGAGCTGACAATTGCTTCAGCTTATGTGTGCACCTAATTTGTGAGGAGGTCACTGCACTAAAAATCTGCTCAAAAGCATTAGGAAGTGAATTGGAACAGGGGAAGGCATATTTGTATGATAGAAACAAGTTCAGTTTTAACCGGGTTCAGTCAAGTGGGCATGGAAGGAGGCATGTGAGGGGAAGATGAGCATTTGCTGTGTGTTACTAATCAGTACATGTTGTCAAGTAACCGATAACTTATGATGATGACTTACGATGTTTTCTAGACATAAAGTAATCAGAAGTGATTTATAAGTCCCTCCTGGAGGTGCACTGAGATCCTGCAGCTTGCCCAAGGCCACACAGGTAGCAAGTTATGTAACACCATCAACCACACCTGCTCTAAATCAGCATTCCCCAACTTTGGGTCCCCAAAAACATCTTTGGATCTATGTTTGGGAACCATTGCTGTAAATCAGTGGTTTCTAACCTTGGGTAACCCTATTGTTTATGGACTGCAATTCCCAGAAACCTTCAACACTACCTGTGCTGGCCATGGTTTCTGGGATTTGCAGTTCAAGAACACCTGGGTTACTAGGTTGGGAACCACTGCTCTAAGTGATCTCAGGTGGCCCCACTCCTAGGAGATGCAGTGAGGATTCAGACTTATGACATAGGCACTCAAATCCATGAGCTATAGCAGTAATATTTCTATTTTTCAGAAAATCCACTGTAGCCGATTATAACCATTCCTGAATTTCTAAGCAGGCAAAAGACGAAAGAAATCAACAGATCACTCTTTGGTTAAGAACCTCAGTACAGTATTCCATGTGTGTCTGCTGTCCAGAATTGCATCCTATGGAAAGGGTGGAAATAAACTCACCTCCAGTCCTCCTCAATCTGGTGTCCTACAAATATGCTATCATTAAAAAACCTTGACTGTGGCCATGAAAACTCTCATTAACCCCACCGTGGCCATAAAACACCTCCATCAATTACTGTCTGAAATCCAGTTGCATAGCTATGTGGCTGCAACTTATAGCCTGCAGTAGTTACAATCACATCAAGGCAGAAATGCTATCCATGAAACATCTCCATTGGCACATTGCAAAGTCAGTCAAATTGAAACCTCACGTTCATTTATGCAATTGTCTTGTGCAGTCGTTGCTCAACTGGAATGCCAAGCACATTTATGACAGCATAACCTCATGTGACACCTTGACAAATTGGATATTAGCCACTGCCTCAGAAACTGCTCCATTTAGAAATTTCTCTTATTATGGAAATGTCAGTCATCTTATTAGCAAACTGGGAGCCGTGTATTCTTTTTGATGCCCTGAGCTGAAAAAGAGAGCATAGCTTCTAGAATTTGTTAAAAACTTGATATTAATCTAGATATAAGCATTGGGCTGCAATTCTATGCATCACTGTGGTGTTCAAATCCGGATAAGCTCACTAGGATTGATGCAGGGCTAACTTCCACATTTCCACCTTGGTTGGAGGTGACTTGATATAACATAACAACAGTATGGCTGATATGAATATCCTTCCACTCTTGAAAATCTCAAATGAGGCAGAACTCTTATTTGATGATCCCTTGTATACAAAAGAATTATAAGCAATATTTATCAAATATCATTAAAATGCTTGTTTTCATTCCCAGAGTGTATTTACAACTGGAGTGTAAGCACATTCTGAAAGTTCATTTTGAAATGTAAATACAGCCCAAGAGACATCCAGGCTGTACTTACATGGTACTACTTGATATTGCTTATTTCTGAGTAAACATTCATAGGTTAGCACTGTCAGTTTATAGTTTAACTAAACTATAAACCAGCAGTGCTAAACTATAAGCTGACACAACTGACAGCAGGAGTCCTCTTCCAACAGAGGTTCACATATTAGTTTATTGTGAACAGATAATGTCCGCCTTCACAGTAAATATTAAGTCTTTAAAATTTGCAGCATAAATCTTTGATATAGTTACTGTATACCTTTTTTAGAATCATTTTAGTTTCTGACACTGTTTTCTCCTTCCTTATTATGTATGGGTTTTATGGTGACCAGAAGGGGGAGGTCACTCTCAGTTAGTTGCACCCACAGCAGTATATTCTAAGTATTGTGCTGTTTTGTCAATACTCCTTTGCTTTAAAAAAAAAAAAAAGAGGGCAGAAGGAAGCAAGCAAGGGTCTGGGAGCTTCAGTCACAGTTGTGTTGTAGTACCTTTATTAGGACCAACCAAGATGTAATAAATCAGTGTAAAAATTTTAGGTGCTGCAAAATGCTTCTTCAGACTATAGTACAAAAAGTAGTGGGAAAGGAAAAACAAAATAAGTACTGCAATAGTACTAGATATTCTGATGCTTAGATTTGCATTTCAGACTGAGTTTCAAGTTGGAGATTGCAGAATCTATGCTCTCTTGGTCCTAAGTATCATAGCAATCAGTGCTGTGTTAAGTATTCTTCAGTATGATGGACACCAAGAGCTTGCACAAGGAATGTTTTTTGGACCACAGCTTCCAGAATCGCTCTTCCAGGTGGTTGGCTGAAGGACTTGGAGATTTGTAGCCCAGAAAAGTTTTTTCCCCAAGCTTCTTGACCAGTGAAAACATTCCACATAAATGCTGTTGAAACTTTTCTAGTTTTAGATGCAGAATACTTCAGAACCAAAACTAACGGATGTGATACATTCAGATGCATGTGGATCGATAGATGTGAGCTACAATCTACAAAACTCTGATAACAAATAAAGCTTCTTAATCTTTAAGGTGCCACAGGATTCTTTGTTGGTTTTGGTACAACCGACTGCAGACTAACACAGGTCCCTCTCTGAGAATTTTGCAGCAATGCATGAAGCTTCAGCTTCAGTTCATTCTGAAGCTTGCTGTGAGCCTGCATATTTGCCTTCTTTCCTTCCTGGGCCTTTAGCCATGTTGCTTCCAGTTCGAAATTATTGGCAGGAGCCAAGGTGCAATGTCCAATATGAAATGGTGCCATCAGAGAGAGACTAGGCATACTTTCCTTGACTATAATTCCCTGACCCTTCAAAGCCCATCTGAACCAGTGAAATTACAGGAAATATCTATTGAATGTGGGCGAAATGGCAAGTGCTGATTGTAAAGAATATGCTAGCAATAAAGGCAGAATTGCCCAACTTTAGAGCCAGTGGTTCTCTACTGTCTACACTGCTACAGTTAAAAACAATTCATAGGATGAGATTGAATGCCTGTGGCTACTAACTTGTTACCATTATCTTACACATTGTAGAGCTGTATTGTGAGACATCTAATAATAGTTCCATTCTATTCTGAATGGCTTCAAGAGCTGGCCGTGCAATGCAGTAGTCTCCTTTGGACTGTACTTCACACAAAATGGCATGGTAAATTTGTATTTGTTGTGAGCCATGTGCAAAATAATCTATTTGTTCCCACTTCATCTGTTCTCATTCCTCACACATGGGAGAATTCGCTAATCCCTTGAGCAAGTGAAAGGCCCTGTTACTGTCAATAGTGTGATCTCTAGTTATGTCGCTACAGACCAGAAACTGTGAGGAGCAAATGTGGAACGCTCATTCTGGGAAACTTGTTTGCTAACAGGTTTCTTATTCTTGTCGTCAAAGTTTCAGCAGTGTCGGTGTATGCCTTCTTCATTGTTCTCAGCTTGAAATATTGTCTTTTAATAACATTGATCACCGCTGTATATTGTTTTCAACTCTAAATAGACTATTTAGATTAATAATTATTTTATTCTTATATATCCCATTTATATCATATCATTCCTTCAATGAATTCAAGTCAGAACTCAGGACTCCTCCTCACCATGACCCTTTGAGGTGGGTCAGACTGGGAGAGAGTGACTGGCCCAAAGTCACCCAGGAATTTTCATGGCTCAGTGGAGACTGGAACCTGGATCTTACAAGCTTCACTGCCCTGATCATTCACACCACATTGACTAACTCTGCTACTCCTTTGGAAATGCCCCACCCTCCGTTAACTCAGTCTTAAACCAGTCAGACTAAATTTTGTCTCACTCCTCTAATGTTAAGGGAAAAATGCTATTCTCCATTGGGGGAAAGGCTGGCACATTTGAAGGAAGCAACAGACTGGAGACAATTCTTCACACACCACCTTATAAGGTTTGTTACGCAACTTATACAATCCTGTTTCAACTTATATTTCTTTTATGCAGTACTGTGTTTATGGCTGTGGCAAAAAAAGAGAAAAGAATGGCTGTCATAGAGAGTAATCTGAAGATTGCAGCCTGAAGGTTTGTCACTTCTAGAAAACTTTTAGCACAGTTCACAAGGTTAAAATTCCATTTTGTTTGGATACTGCAGGTTCTTTTGGCCTTGCCTTTTTTATCATAAAAATGTGAAGCAGATTACATGAGGGTCACCCTAGAGATGCCTCTCCTGACCCTGTTAAATCAGCAAGAAGAAACTGGTAGCAATGTATTTTAAGCTTTACCCCACTTTGCTTGTTCAGCACATCCCTTTCACCTACATAGAGGGGGTGCAGGCAATGAGCTCGCTCAGGCCACGTTATGAAGAAGCAAAGGCAAGAAAAGCCTGAGGGTGCAGTTGATAGGAAGAAGGGCAATACATTTATTAGGGCCCACCAAAATGTCGTGGAACTATGCAATCTTCTGAGTTCTCAGGAGTCTTTAATCAGGATTTATCATGCAAAGAGCAGCAGATGTAGGGGCAACCAAAAGTGTCTCTGTATCACGCCGGATTTTGTGCCATGAAATATGTGATTAAACTCATCCCCAAGATGTTGATTGCAGGGATGGGAACTTGAGTTGCGGTACTCGCTGTCAAGTTGGACTTAAGTTGCACTGGTGACTTGGGTTTTTCCCCCCAGTGACTTAGACTTGACTTGTGACTTGGAACCCACCCCTTCATTTTTTTCTGGGGGGGGGGACTTTGTCTCAGTAGGGACTCAGACCTGGGGCTTGGAACTCAGGACCTGGTACTAAAGACTCAGATGTGGACTTGCCAACATCCCTGATTGATTGCACACTGACTCCCTGTGTTACACCTCACATTGTATGCCTGGAGACACTGCATCCCTGAAAACAAAAAGACTGGCTGTAATTCTGAGATCTTGGATGAAGCGCAGACTCCTGAGTTGGCACAGAACTGAAGCACACAGTAGTATGGTAGTATTTGTAAAAGCACAATTGGAGATTGCAGTATAAAAGATGCCACACTGGATAAACTTTGTAAACATTGTTGGGGATGTTGCAGAGTGCCCTTCCTCGTGGAGTCACTATGACTCTGTGGCCTTCATTGTCATCCTGTCAACCAGTTTGTTTTATTCTAAATTATTTGTGCAGTGGGGGACTTTATGAAAATGTACCTCACATTGTATGCCTGGAGACACTGCATTCGTGAAAACAAAAAGGCTGGCTGTAATTCTGAGATCTTGGATGAAGCGCATAGACTCCTGAATTGGCACAGAACAGGAGCACACAGTAGTATGGTAGTACTGTATTTGTAAAAGCACAATTGGAGATTGCAGTATAAAAG